AACAGAAACATTCATCTATATAATAATAATTGAACAGAAACATTCATGTATAAAATAATAATTGAACAGAAACATTCATCTATAAAATAATAATTGAACAGAAACATTCATCTATAAAATAATAATTTAACAGAAACATTCAAATATAAAATAATAATTTAACAGAAACATTCATGTATAAAATAATAATTGAACAGAAACATTCATCTATAAAATAATAATTGAACAGAAACATTCATGTATAAAATAATAATTGAACATTATTTATCTGAGGAGCAGCTTTGAGTTTAACTCCATCACTGAACTCTCATCTTGAACAAGCATGAAGGCGACAGTGGAAAGAAAAACTCCCTCATGAGGAAGAAACCTTTAGCAGAACCAGGATCAGGACTAGAGGACCATCTGCTTCGACCGGCTGGGTTTGGTAAGAATAGATACACAATGGCAGGTCAAGAATCACATGTTAAGATAGAAATAGTATCAAATGAAAACTATTTAATTTTAACAATTCATTTAAGGAAATGAGGTCAGTTTGTCCTCTAGTAGTCTAAGTCTATAGCAGCATAACAAGCCGACCCTAACTATAGGATTTATCAAGAAGGAAAGTCTTAATCCCAGTCTTAAACTGGACAATGTGTCAGCCTCATGGACAGAAACTGGAAGTTGGTTCCACAAGAGAGGAGCCTGATAGAACCTCCTTCTTCCACCTGCGTAATATCACTAACATTAGAAACATCTGATCTAAAGATGATGCAGAAAAACTGGTCCATGCATTTGTCACGTCTAGACTGGACTATTGCAATGGTTTATTATCTGGGTGTCCAAATATTCTTTAAAACGTCTTCAGTTGATCCAAAATGCTGCTGCCAGAGTCTTAACTGGAGTTGCTGGGAGAGATCTTTCAGTTATCAGACAGGAGTTCTTAAACATTATGATAGATGACATGGTTCATAAGGCACATTTCTTTTAACTTTACGTAAACTGATAAATCTGAGCTGCACTAAACAACAGTAACAATAAAAGTTGAACTGGAGGAAAAGTAGCTAATAATGGTTGAACCTTCCCGCTGCCCTTGGGTCAAAACGACCCACCGAGGCCTACTGGGTCAAGTCTGGGTTTTCAGCCTGGTCTTTGTCCGTGATGTCCAAACGCTCCGGACATGAAAAGTGTAAAAGGAATTGGAGGATTGAGTCGTTTAATGTGAGGAAATGTTTTGCTGTGACTTGTTTTCAGGTGGCACTTCGCCAGTGACGGCGCAGACATCGGTTTTGGGGTGTTTCTAAAGGCCAAAAAGGGCGAGTGGAAGAAGGCTTCAGAGATGCAGGAAGTGGTTCCCAGTGAGAGGTACAACGCTCACCTGGTACCTGAGGATGGCTCGCTGACCTGCGAGCGCCCGGGAGTCTGTGAGTCAACTTCTTTCAGTTCTTTATCTAAACTTTATTACAGCACAAAGTCATCCCAAGAGATAAATCTCCCACTTTCTGTTCAACGCAGACGTGTTGAGGTTCGACAACACCTACAGCATTTTCCAGGCCAAACGGGTCAGTTATTCTGTGGAGGTCCTGCTCCCAGACCACCTGCAGTCCTCTCAGACCAACCGTCTGCAAGTCAGGGGCAGCAGCTAGTCCCGACAACGATCAGACGTTTCATCATGAAGTCACGCTGTGGACAGAACCTGCTGCCCAGAAACGTTCAGCTCTTCCATCTAAATATTAAATGACTCGTGGTTTGTCTGATCCAACTCAGGTCTGTTCAAGAAGCACTAAGCATGAAGAAGACCCGCAGAACAAACGTGGAGGTTCTGTTCATGTTTCACGGGTACGACGGAGGGTTAGGCTCCTCAAAAAAAAACAACTAGATTTTATTTTCACGTTAAAGTTCAAATGTCAAGAATAAAATATTTACAGGAAAAAAGACAAAGTTGTCGTTTAAGACAAATGTGGAGGAAGTGAACCCTGCCGAGCTTCTGAAGCCGTGTGTTTGTTCCATTTGTCATATCTGACGGTTCTGGTTCTGCACTTTAACTACGTGCAGTATTTGATCTGGACCGGCCCCAGGAGCAGGTTATCACTGCAGGACTCAGAATTTGCTTCGATCCTTCACAATTTCTTTGGACTTCAGCACCATCGTCCCAGACATTCTGCTCTCTAAGAAGGACATGGTGGGGCTCCCCCCTCTCACAAATGCCTGGATAGTGCACTTTAACTCTCCAGCCCCAAGACTGTGAGACACCTCACCTCCACCTGCACTCCTGAGTGTGACCTCAGCCGAAGTGAGGAGGACCTTCAGGAGGATTAATCCTCACAAAGCAACCGGCCCAGACAACATCCAGGGAAGGTGCTGAACGACTGTGCCGATCAGCTCTGTGAGGTGCTGGCTAACATCTTTAACACCTCACTTACCCTGGAGACAGTTCCCACCTGCCTGAAGACCACCACCATCATCCCAGTCCCAAAGAGCTCTACAGTGACTGGTCTGAATGACTACCGGCCAGTGGCCCTCAGCATGATAGTTGCTAAATGCTTCGAAAGACTGGTCATGACCCACATCAGAACAACCATCAACGAGGATCCTCACCAGTACACATACTGCAAGAACCCATCAACAGAGGACACCATCTCCTCTGTGGTCCACACTGCTCTCACCCACCTGGAGCAGAAGGACTCCTAGGTCCACATGCTCTTTGTGGACTTCACATCTGTCTTCAACACCATGATCCTCCCCCACCTCCTCACCCAACGGACAGGAGCTACTGCTGCTGCCCTCCTCTTCATCTTCTCTCAGATTTACCCCTCTCCTCCTCATCATCACCTGCTGGTCCTCAGCAGCATGCCGGGCTGGCGGAGGAACCTCACTTTTTGCCTGAAACCAATGCACAAGGAAGACAAATTCAGGAGCTGCTACAGCAGCAACACAGTAAAACGGCCCCGAACAGAGCTCCCTCAGCAGAGGACATGGAAGATATCAAGAAATCCCTAGACTTTCTGGGTGAGGAAGTCCCAACCAACAGCTTACTCCAAAGTGGAACAAACCAGTTCTGCTTGGTTTGTTCCACTTTGGAGTAAGCTGTTGGGAGAAGAATCAGTTTTGTTGTGCGTTTCCTTGACTGATGAAGCCTTCTGGATTGAAGGCGAAACGTTTCAGCACAAAATAAGAAACTGTCCTGATGAGCTGACTGAAAAATGTTGGACTGTATACCTGGATTATTGAGCGTGGACTTTGTTGATAAAAGGATGACCTTTCGACTTAGAGCAATATACTCGAATGAACAACATAACTGCGACCGAGCTGCAAATAAAAGCACAGTCAGATGAACAGGATGTGTCAGGAGGAGAAGGAGAGGATCGAAGCGAGCAGACCAAACTCTGTAGAGCAGCAGGTGACAACTTTTCTCCACTCCAGGAGAACAGAGGTAAACAACAAAAACATGGAAAACCAGCTGTAATGATGATCCTCCAAACCCTGATGGACAAACTAGTCACACCAGGACTAAGGCCCTCCATTTGCAACTGGGTCCTAGACTTCTTAACAAACAGACCACAGTCAGTGAGTATCCACAACTTCTCCTCCTCCACCATAACCGTCAGCACTGGCTCTCCTCAGGGATGTGTGCTGAGCCCCCTCCTGTTTACTGTGCTCACATACAGTATGATTGTGCAGCTACCCATCCAGAATGTCAGATTGTAAAGTTTGCAGATGATACAGTGGTGGTGGGATGCATCACAAACAATGATGAGTCCAGCTACAAGTACTTGGGTGTGCACCTGAACAACAACCACAGCTGGAGCAACAACACCACCAGCCTGATGAAGAAAGATCATCAGAGACTCTACTTCCTCAGACGGCTGAGACGAGCTGGTCTGGAAGCTCAGTCCTCACCTCCTTCTACAGGTGTGCAGTGGAGAGCATCCTGTGCTCCAGCATCAACGTGTGGCATGGAGGCTGCACAGCTGCAGAAAGAAAAGCTTTGCAGAGAGTGGTGAAGGCTGCACAGAAGATGTTGGAGTCAGTCTCCCCACCATCACAGACATCTACACCTCCAGATGCAGGAAGAGGGCCACCTGCATCATGAAGGACCACACTCACCCAGCACACACACTTTTTTCCCCGCTCCCCTCAGGAAGGAGGTTGAGGAGCATTAAGTGTAGAACCACTAGACTGAGGAACAGCTTCTACCCTGAGGCTGTTAGACTCATGAATCTCTAACCAGAAGAATAACTGTGAAAAAATGACTGTAATGCCACTTTGATTGTTGATATGTGCTGCTGATCTCATGCTGCTGATTTATTTCATGTTGCTGTGTTCATGCTCATCAGCTCACACAGATTCATGTTCGTGCTGCTGTTCAACATAATGCTTTTATGCTGTTAGTACTCACCACATGTACCACATGTGGTGAGAATGACAAATAAAGGAACTGACTCAGACTCTGATTCTTGGCACTGGGTGACCTCAGGGCTGAGAGCTGAGCCCCCACCTGGACTAACAGAAAAACATCATCATCGTCGAACTTGGGGGACATGGCAACTTAATGAGAAGAGGTCCAGAAGTGAAAAACGCGGTGTTTGGTGAATATTCATCAATAAGGCCCAGCAGAGACTGTACCTTCTGAGGATCCTCAAGAAGGACCAGCTGGACACCAAACTGCTGCTGACCTTCTACAGCTCATTCATTGAGAGCTCTGAGGCGGGCCGGAGGCTTCAGGGGAGAATAAAACTGCACTGAACTCTCCCTTCCCTGATGGACATTTAGTCGTCCTGCTGCCTCAGCAAAGTTCACCAGTTTGACCTGTTGTCCTCCGCCAGGTGCTACAGGTGCATCAAAGCTACAACGGTTTGTTCCCCAGAGCCCCCAGTCAAACCCCGTAATGGGTTTTGGTTACAAATATGGTGATTACAGTATTCATGAGTAGTTCTATGAGTTTGGTTTGAAGTGGTTTATTTTGCACCTGGGGAGTCGGGGACAGTGAGGCTTCAAAGAGCAGAGGTCTCCAAGGTGCTTGAAGGTGCTTGAAGGTGCAGGGCAGTAATAACAGTCACACACTGAGAGCTAACCTCCAACCAGCTGAAGCTCGTTCTTCAGTCAAACGGACCCGCAGGCTGGACCAGCGTCACCACTCGGACTCTTACTGTGAAGGATTGAAACAGGTCGTGGGAGTTCTGCTGGAGAGAAGACGCAGCTTGGACCGGTCCAAAGAAAATCCTGTACATTATTTTGTTGTGAACGTTCCCCCAGAAGCCTCAGAGACACGTCTGATTAGTAACAACAAATCAGCTTGAGCTCCTTCCCTTCCTCCAGTTTAGTCCTAAAAGATTACTTTTTATCAATATTGTATTAAAAATACATTTTTTGTTAAACATTTGAACTTGGACTTCACGGCTTTAATGCTGAAATTGGGAACAAGAAAGTTTTACTTTTTTATTTGCAGAGTTTCTAATTTGTTGTCAGAATAACTTCATATAGTTTTTGACTCAATAATTTTCACCTGAAGTGTAAAACGGGACAAGAATGTTTTATTCTATGCACAATCATTTATTTTATTTTCAGCGCTTGAAGTACAAAATGTGGAAGATTTTTATTTATGTACATTTATTACAACCAGTCGGTCAGGATGTTTGGGTCTTAGTTTGTTTGTTGTAAACGTTAAATGCTGTTTGTTTCTAAAAACAAACACGTTTACTTCCATCGTTGTACAAAATATAAACTGGATTCTTGGCTTGACGACGTGCAGCTCAGATTGATCAGTTTACGTAAAGTTCAAAGAAATGTGCATTATGAACCATGTCGTTTATCATAATGATGTTTATGAACTCGTGTCTGTAAAGCTGAGTTCTTTTCACATCTTTAATCCGTTTTCTTTTGTTTGTTTGAATTGTATATCTTCAGTCTCAGGAACGGACCGTCACAATCATGAAAGAAGTTAATTTTATTTAAAGTTGGTCCAATCAATTAAAGACATTTTGTTTTTTGAATATTTAACACCGAATGATGTGTTTTATTTTCTGCAGTTTTTACCGTCCAGCTAATCTGCATTTTTCATGTTTAGCCATTCATCTATTAAAACATTCAGCATCTTCAGCTGACAGTTAGCTTCAAGAACGTTTAGATTATTGAACTTTAGTTACAAACACTGATCTATAGGAATGTATCGAGCCCTTCATGTTCAGCTTTTAGCTAGCCAACATTATTTAAGCCAATTTAGGCACTTTTTTTGGCTGCTTTTAGCATCTAGTTTCTCCTGCTGCTTTTAGGCTATTTTCAGCTGCTTTTAGCTTCTAGTTTCTGTTCTGCCACTTTAAGCTTCTGTTCGGCTCATTTTAGCTTCTAAGTTCTGTTCTGCAGCTTTTTACTTCCGTTTGGCTGTTGTTAGCTTTTAGTTTCTCTTCTGCTGCTTTTACCTTCTAATTTCTGTTCTGCCACTTTAAGCTTCTGTTCTGCTACTTTTAGCTTGTAGTATGTTCAGCTGCATTTAGCTTGTCATTTGCTATTACTATTATTGGCGCCTCCATTTTAGATGGAGGGAACACACGGAGACATTTAGAAACTAAACTGGCGGAGGGTCCTAGTCTCGTGTGGAGCAAGTCTTGCAATGCTACATCGTGGTGGAGCCACATCGTGGTGGGGCTACATTGTGGTGGGGCTACACTGGTGGGGCTACATCGTGGTGGAGCTACATCGTGGTGGGGCTACACTGGTGGGGCTACATCGTGGTGGAACAACACTGGTGGGGCTACATCGTGGTGGAGCTACACTGGTGGGGCTACA